TGTGGGCTTATGGCAAATCTTTATATAGGATGACTACCTGTCTATATGTGGGCTTATGGCAAATCTTTATATAGCATGACTACTTGTCTATATGTGGGCTAATGGCAAATCTTTATATAGAATGAGTACTTGTTTATATGTGGGCTTATGGCAAATCTTTATATAGGATGACTACCTGTTTGTATGTGGGCTTAATGGCAAATCTTTATATAGGATGACTACTTGTCTATATGTGGGCTAATGGCAAATCTTTATATAGAATGAGTACTTGTCTGTATGTGGGCTTATGGCAAATCTTTATATAGGATGAATACCTGTCTATATGTGGGCTTACAGTTTGTAGTACGAGCCGGAGGAGCTATTTTCATTTAGAATGCTTTTGTTTTGTTTTTGCCTAATAATCATTAGAACTTAAATTTTAGCATAAAAACACCAGTTCAGAAGTCTTAAGTTGAAAATAACAAATAATTTAACTATTATAATATATTTGTGGAGTAAGTTGACCACACAAGCTCTAATTAATTTTCCTTTTAAATAAGATGTCACTTAAATATTCTTCCTTATCCACATCTATGCCTTGTACCACATGGAGAAACTTGTTGGTAAACATTTATTTTGTTGGAGTTTGAAATTCTGCCACAGTTATGTATGGTTCCTAAATGATGCCAAAGACATAGGCAGAAAAAAAAAGCTAAAAAAATTTACATTTTAACAAATAATTATTTCAGTACAGTTTCGACATATATTAAAAATATTTGGATGAAGGTACTTTAATCAAGCTTGCAATATTCACTCAGTTTGGCTAACACGTAATAGATTTGCAACTTCATATTTTCAGAAAGTGTAAATCTAAAATAAGGATGAAGTAAGTACATATTTAAATTTTTTTCTCTCCTACTACACAAGTGATTCAGCAGTAAGCCTGAAGACTTATAACATTAAATACCAGCTTTCGATACCCATAGAGGGAACAGCACAGGTAGCCCATTATGTAGCTTTGTGTTTAACAACAAAGTCTATTATACTTTTCAGGTTATTACACGAATAACACCAGATGCTACATATAAATTAGCCAAAGAAACAGAATCTATATTTGATGTAAATATTAGACTCAAATAAACGGTTCAAATCGTCGTTTAACAAAAACACCATTTCCCAGTTTTATAAAAACCTCAATTTATGTTCTGAATCTAAATTTTTCTCCTCCCCCGAAAAAAAGACTCGTCTTCATTGCAAATTTCAAATCTTTTCTTTCAATAAAACTTACATACAATAGCAGTAACTCAAAGCTTTTCTTTCAATAAAACTTACATACAATAGCAGTAACTCAAAGCTTTTCTTTCAATAAAACTTACACACAATAGCAGTAACTCAAAGCTTTTCACAAGAGTATCTCTCATTATCAACTTCAGTTTTTCATTTTTCTGTGAACAAAGCTTACCTCAAATAACAAAGAACATAACATCATTAAAGAATTGATTTTATGAAGACAAGTATTTACCTGTATTCTGGTTCAAAAGGTGATGATACACAAACTCCCACACAAATCTGACAGCTTCTTGACATCCAGGTTGTAATAAAAGTTTATTCTGTTGATGTCCAAGTTGTGATAAAGGCTTATTCTCTTGATGCAAGACTTCTGATAAAGGCCAATTATCTTGACTTACAACTTCTGATAAAGGCTGATTCTCTTGATGTTCAAGTTGTGATGAAGAATGATTCTCATCTTCAATATTGAAGTACGTTTTTCTTAGCCATGTAACAACTTCCTTCCACTGAGCAGAACCTCTTTTTAAGCACTCGTTCATTCTCAAGATAACAAGAAATTTGGAGAGTTGGTGATAGGTCACAGAATTCTAAACAAATAAAATGTAACAAAACTTCTAAAAATAATTCTACATGAGTATTAATTACGGCAGTGAAAACTCAAGAATGAATAAAGTTTATCTTTTACTTTAAAAATATCTTTCCTTACAGATTAAAACATATTTATTACAAATTGGATACGTTATTCAAAGAAGATCATATGAATAAAATTACTCTTATAATATGGGGCCTAGATAATGATCTCAAAAAAGTGAAATCATAAAAACTGATTGTTACCGTTTGATTGCAAGAAAACTGCATAGTTATAACTAGTACCTCAAATTTTACAACAGGCCTGTTTTTTACAATCACATTATAAGTTGAAAATAACATTAGTAGAAAACTTAAGAGTTAAATTAGAAATAACTGAGAATGCATCATTATCATCAATTGATAAACAAAATATCTCAACACTTACATCCCTAAAGTTAGTGAAACTACTTGTGTTCTTCTGTTTATGAATGGGATGATCATGATGCAGGTTTTCACACCTGATCCCTATTAGAACACAAGTAGTTTCACTAACTTTAGGGATGTAAGTGTTGAGATAGTCTGTTTATGAATGAGATGATCATGATGCAGGTTTTCACATCTGATCCCTATTTCTACCATGAACTGTTGCTAATGTCCTCTACCATGAACTGTTGCTAATGTCTACTACCATGAACTGTTGCTAATGTCCTCTACCATGAATTATTGCTAATGACCTCTAAATGAACTATTGCTAATGACCTCTATCATGAACTATTGCTAATGACCTCTACCATGAATTGTTGCTAATGGTCTCTACCATGAACTATTGCTAATGACTTCTACCATGAACTATTGCTAATGACTTCTACCATGAACTGTTGCTAATGACTTCTACCATGAACTATTGCTAATGACCTCTACCATGAACTATTGATAAACCAGCAGTATAAGATAATGTGAATAGTTGATAACTTTGACATCAGAAACATAATATCATGTTGAATGGCACTCTGCAGAAGGTCATGGCATGTGTACTTTAACCCTCACCTATGTACATAGGATTAAAGAGTCTGGAGACAGTCTTATACATCTAACTCACAAATAAAATTTTGGTAAACTACTATTAGCATAAAATTCAAAATAAAAATATAAAAATACTTGGTGATTGTTTAACCTATTCTTTAATTACTAAGTACTATTAGATCACAAGTAGTTTCACTAACTTTGGGAATGTAAGTGTTGAAATACGGACATTAGCAACAGTTCATGGTAGAGGACATTAGCAACAGTTCATGGTAGAGGTCATTAGCAACAGTTCATGGTAGAGGACATTAGCAACAGTTCATGGTCGAGGCCATTAGCAACAGTTCATGGTAGAGGACATTAGCAACAGTTCATGGTAGAGGCCATTAGAAATAGTTCATGGTAGAAGTCATTAGCAACAGTTCATGGTAGAGGTCATTAGCAACAGTTCATGGTAGAGGCCATTAGCAACAGTTCATGGTAGAGGCCATTAGCAACAGTTCATGGTAGAGGTCATTAGAAATAGTTCATGGTAGAGGTCATTAGCAATAGTTCATGGTAGAGGACATTAGCAACAGTTCATGGTAGAGGTCATTAGAAATAGTTCATGGTAGATAACATTAGCAACAGTTCATGGTAGAGGCCATTAGCAACAGTTCATGGTAGAGGCCATTAGCAACAGTTCATGGTAGA